GTTTTAGAGTCAAAGGTTAAGATACATATGAACATTTCTGAAACTACCATCTTTCAACAAGACTCAGTACCGCGTCATACTGCGAAATCAGTCAAGAAGTGGTTTCATGACAACGATGTGCAACTTTTGAAGAACTGGTCTTCAAATTCGCCTGATTTGAATGTTATTGAAAATTGTTGGAACTTAATGAAAGCTAAAGTGTCAGCACATAGTCCTATGTCAGAGGAACATTTAAAAGATGTATTGAAGCAGGTGTGGGTAAATGAAATTACCCTACAGTACTGTGACAAGCTTGTAAAAAGTATGCTTTCTCGTATACAGGCTGTATTGAAAAATCGTGGTTACCATACAAAATACTAAGATTTTGAGACTTTTTGTTGATGAATTTTAAAAGTAATGCTGCTAGATATGTTTTAGAACATTTTATAATACTAATAGTACATATAATACGATTTCATGAAAGAGAAACTGGACTTGCTTAATTAAAATTGCAATTCTGCTAGGTGCCTTAATTCAATGGCCACTACTGTATATATATATATATATATATATATATATATATATATATATATATATATATATATATATATATATATATATATATATATATATATATGTATATATATATATGTATATATATATATGTATATATATATATATATATATATATATATATATATATATATATATATATATATATATATATATATATATATATATATATATATATATATATATATATATATATATGTATATATATATATATTTTTTTTATGAATGTAGACATCATGTATGAGAGTATGTAAATTGTTATTTTATAAACATCAATAAATACGATTTTCTCTCGATGCTAAATGTATTTTTTAAAAAAAAATTTCGCTGGATTTTTGTGACCAGCATCTTCAACTTAAAGGTTTTTTGTTTGTTTTTGTTTGTATGTAATTTTTTAATAAATGGCAAGTCTATTTTATGAGAATGGAAAGGTTTTTCCTTTTTCTGACGTAAGTTCGCTAAAAATGGTGTCCAAAATTTTGTTGACACACATTGTCTCTCATCTAAATTGATACCATTTTGTTGAGGGGCACTTTTTAGCATCAACTTTTAGAATTTTGCAACTGTGCCAGTTAATTTATTGCGTACAATGTCTCATGTGTGTGGCTAAAGCAGAACGTTCTGTTTTATTTCCTATTGTACTGTTTTTGTGTTGTTGCATGCGCGTTCTTATTTGCATTTTTGTTTCACCTATATACTTTTTGCTACAATGACATTTAATAAGGTAGACTCCTGGTTGACTGTTCGTTTGTAGTTTGGATTTATTTCTTGATGTTAATATTGCCTCTAGGTTTAAGTTTGATTTGAAGATTTTATATCCTGTTTTATATCCTGCCTTCCTAAAAACTTTACGCAATTTAGGAGACAATTTTGGTACCCATGGTAATGAAATCGTTGGATACGTACTGGTGATGTTGTCAATGTTTTTAGTAGTCACTAGAGATTTTTTGTAATTTCGTTTTATTTCTTTTATGATTTTTATGAGATTGGACTGTTTGTAGCCATTTTCGGCAAATACTTGAATAAGAAATATCAGTTCATTTTCTAAATGTTTTTGACTGCATACATTAAATGCTCTATGTACAAAACCTTTAAATATTCCATTTAAAATTTGTGGATCATGGTTTGATGTTGCCTTAACTTGAATATTAGTAATTGAATTTTTTCTGTAAATTTTAAATTCATATTTACCATTTTTGTTATTTATTATGCATATGTCGAGAAAATTTTGTGTTTTTTTGTCATTTTCAAATTCGATGATATATTGTATTTTTGGATGCTGTTGATTAAATATTGTCTTAAATTGATCAGCCTGGGCAATGGTAGAAACTCTAGCATGACTGTCATCTCGTATCTATAAAATGACTTTATATCAATAAGCGGGTTAGTTTTCAGCGCTGTATTAAGTGCTTTATTTTTAAGATGTTGAAGAAAAGATTTAGCTAAAACTACCATAAACGAAAGACCTATCGAACCAGAACTTTCAAGTTCATGTATTTCATTGTTCCATAAAAAGTATGGTCGGTATAAACATAGTTCTATCAGAATTTTTATTTCTTTCATATCCAATTTTGTCGCTTTTTTAAAATTATCACTCACCTCCCATAAACTTATGAGTACTTCAGTTGCTTCTTCAAGATGAATTGACGGGTGTAAATTTATAACGTTCAATGATATCTGAATTTCGTCACTGGATATATCCCACGATTTTGCTTTTTCTACGAATTGTTGCGAATTTTTTAATCGAATTGGGTTTTTATTTAATATCGTTTGTATTAGTTTTACTAAGTAATTTGAGGTTCCGTAGTTTGGTGTGCCCATTGTAAGTACTACAAATCGCATTGAGTAAGATTGTTCAGGCTTATGTGCCTTCACTACACCATACATACGAGGTGGTATCGGGTCACTGGGATAAATTTGTTGATATTCATCTTTTGTGACCCAACCTTTTTTACTTAATTTCGATAGTTGGACTTTGATTTTCATTGCGTAACTTTGTGTTGGGTCCTCATTGATAATTTTAGATGGCCCAATTTTTTTATTGTGTAAGTGCTTTCCGTTGTTGACGAGTCAGGTTGTTATTTTTATTATTTTTGTTTAATTCTCTCAAAACCTCTCTTCTCAGCGTTTGCGCAGTTTCATCTTTTTTGTTGTATTCAAGTTTTAGAGCAGATGACTCGGTTATTGAGACGATGTCAAAATACGGAAGAGATTTTATTGTTGGCACAAATTTAGGTCCAAGGTTAAGGAGACTTTTTTGATGTTCTGGAATTTCTGTGTCGCATAAAAATGTTTATACCGACCATACTATTTATGGAACAATGAAATACATGAACTTGAAAATTCTGGTCCGATAGGTCTTTCGTTTATGGTAGTTTTAGCTGAATAAGAACGATCTGCATTAGCCACACACATGAGACATTGTACACTGGGAAAAATTAACTGGGACAGTTGCAAAACTCTAAGTTGATGCTAAAAGGTTTGATAGAAAAGTTCGTGTTGCACTTGAAATACAGTACCACCAATGTGCCCCTCAAAATGGTATCAATTTAGATAAGGGACAATATGTGTCAACAAAATTTTAGACACTATTTTTAGCGAACTTACGTCAGAAAAAGGAGAAACCATTCAATTGTCGTAATAGTCAAAATAGAAATGCCGTTTATTAAAAAATAACATATAAACAAAAACAAACAAAAAACCTTTAAGCTGAAGATGCTGGTCACAACAATCCATATATATATATATATATATATATATATATATATATATATATATATATATATATATATATATATATATATATATATATATATATATATATATATATATATATATATATATAGATATATATAGATATATATAGATATATGTATAAATATATTTAAATATATATATAATAATATATATATATATGTATATATATATATATATATGTAAATATATATATATATATATATATATATATATATATATATATATATATATATATATATATATATATGTATATATATATATATATATATATATATATATATATATATATATATATATATATATATATATATGTATATATATATATATATATATATATATATATATATATATATATATATATATATATATATATATATATATATATATATATATATATATATATATATATATATATATATATATATATATATATAGCAGTTTGCTGTCTCGGTGGCATGTTTTACGTTGAGTATAAACTTGATCAAATGTGGAAAGAATTCGGACGAACCAAATGTTGGTCGTATATCTTATCATGGATTGGAGCTGTTATCTTAATTATAGCTAGTATTTTTACGTTTATTTTGCTTGTGAAGGTGCCATCTCACAAGTTATTAAAACCAAATTCTACAAAAAATAATCCCATGGCTTCAATAAATAAAGCCTATGAAGATGAAAGAGCGGTTGTAACAATAAGTATGAGATATACTGGTATTCAAATGTATTAAAATTTATTAAAAGGATTTCGTAAAAGCAATTTATCACCTTATTTCATCTCATTGCGAACGTTTTTGTAAAAACCACTTTTATTTGGATTGACAATACAAGTTATTTTAGATTTAAAAACGTTTTAATTACGATTGTTTTTGTTAATTGTGATAAAGATACATTTGTTTAAATTTTAAAATTATATTTATGTATAAATATATTCTATATAACAATGTATTTATTATCTTTATTAGAAATTACGTAATGATTTCTTAAAGTATTTTAAGTTTTAAAATTAAATTTTGTTTACCGAATTTTTTCTTTTAAAAACAACATTTACTTTTCATTTACTATTTTATTCTCACTGGCATTGAGGTACAACAGGTGTTCCTATAGTACTGACCACTTTGACTAAATAAAATGTCTATTTTTACAATATAAGGAAGATTCAAGTACTAAGGAGTGATTTTATATATAAATTTATTAAAAAATATTAACTTTTTAATTTTACTATTTATTCAGATATATTTAGGGTGGTTATATCACTATAAGGGTGGTTATAACACCATGAAAGTGGTTATACCACCATTATGGTGATTATAACACCATCAGGGTTGTTATACCATCATCAGGGTGGTTATACCACTATCAGGGTGGTTATACCATAATCAGGGTGGTTATACAAACAAAAATGTTAATTTGACTCTCGTGATTATTTATTGACAAAAGAACTTTTCACTGAAGTTTGTGCAGTACTGATTAAATGTTTAAAAAGTTGCAAAAAAATAAATTAATTTAACTATCCAGATTTGTTAGCTGCTTCTAGACTTCCTAGAGGAGCACCTTTAGTATGTTGTCTTTAAAATTTATTATGTGGAAATAACAATGTAATGGTAGGATATTAATACTAGTAGCATTAATGAAATCATTGTTGCGTTGTTGCCTTGTTTTGCCATATTTAATTTTTTAGACTTTTTTCCTTTCAGGGCTATTATTGGTACGTAAATGGAGCGTAAACTTTAGTTATTCTTGTTTCATCTGAGTTCCAAATGTTTGATGTTTTAAAATGATACGTTCAAAAATATTTTTTGACGTTGTTCTTACTACTTTTTAATTGAACGCAGAAGATCTAAAAAGACTTGTTGTGACGGTTGTGGCTTATGTAAAGATGGTTAGGCAGTCCATACTGCTAGATACAACCACAAGCAAAAAAACAATAGAAATCTGCGTGGTATAATAAAAATCTGGCTGTTATAAGCATTGCGTGTAGAGTTAAGTTGTTTTACAATACCGTTCAAGAATCTAATAAGTCAATATATTTATACTATGTAAATATGTATTAATAATAACAATAGTAATAAAGTATGAGCAAGTAATACAGAAATGTTATGAAAATATTTGCTTGTTATGCATATTTACAGCATCTGTCAAATATTATACCAAAATTAATTCTACTTCTGTTGGCAATATTCTTTTTGGTTTTCTGTGTAAATATAAATTTTTGCTATTTCAAAAACTGATTTAACTGTTATATCAAAGTTGGATTTTAGGGATGCTATGATTCGCTTCTTCATATAAACTAATTTTTTGTTGAAAAACAAATTCTACTGTAGCAACCATATCTTTTTTGCAAATCTTCTTACAAAAGATGTCAACTTGGCAACTCGGCATTATAAGACTAAAACATATCAAAAGAAAGAAAAAAATTATTTTTTTGCTTTTACATCCTTATAATTGTACAGAAATCAAGTAAAGCTATACAATCGGCTTATTTAAGTATCTTGTTACAGCTTTCCACCTAATTTTTTTTATAAAAAATAATTATAAAGCATTTATAAATATATTTAGATTAGTTTGTTGATAAAAATTTAATATATTGGTTTTATAATACCATTGATATTATAAATGCAACATTTTTTATCGATAGACTTTAATTACAACACATATATCTTGATTAACTTTATTACTTATCTCCAAAACCCCACATTTTAATGTTATAGCATACAACCATATGCCAAAATTTTATAATTTTTTATAAAACTGGTACCAGTTTTATAAAAATCCGCAAAAGTTTGCAACAAATCAAAGTGCAATATGGACCGATCAAAAGTACAACGTCCTTAGCTGGTAAAAGGTACATGAGATGGGTATGAGGTACATGATGGATACATGAAAAAGGTACATGAGATGGGTTTCTATGATAACTATTATCTCAATCCCTAATCATGGTTAGAAAAAATTATCTAAACTTTTTCATAAGGTATGTAAAAAAGGTATGTAATTTTTAATAAATTTATACATTATTCAAACAACTATTTATGACCCCCTTATTAGGGTAGAGTGGGGCATATCGGGACAGCGGGGCATAACGGGACAGTTATGCCTGAAGCCTTATCTCAGGCGAAAAAAACTTTTTTTCAAAACTTTTTTTTTGATAAATCATTTTAATTATTGTGCTTTGTTATTGTAAAAAATATTTGATTTTAGAAATACCGAAATGCATCAAAAGTACCAAAATGCATCATTAAGTTTGCGAAAAACAAAATTTGCGTATTTTCTTAAGCGATACAGCGACAAAAGATTTATCTTGAACTCTTGCGAATTTGCTTTATTTATAAAAAGTTTATATTTTTCAGACAGTATTTTTTTATCCTCTTTTAGAATCTGATTTGAAAAAAAAAATTTTGGAATTGAACTTTTTGAATAGTATTATTTTCAGTAAATTGACTTTTGTGGGGCATATCGGGACAACACTAGTGTTTATATAATTGAGTATAATACTACCATTTCGCAATGCTGTTTACAGTTTGATAATTTTATTTTTAATTTAAATTATTGTTTTTTTTTATTTAGAATCAATTTTAGCAATAAATTTAAAGAATTTCTTATTTTTATAACTTAACTTCGATGATTAATAGTCCTTAATGTAAACAGAGAAGGTAAGAAATTATATAAGAAAGATCAACCATCCAAAACGGGATGAAATTCAGTTTTAGTGTGAGTAAACAGAAACTTGAAGAGCTGCTGATACATATGGCGTATTTAAGTTTGCTCTACATTGGCATATTGCTAATAAGCCAGCTCATCAAAAATGTTGCCGAAAAGTTTTAGGATATTCTTTGTGTGATTTATGTAATCCATAAAAATTAGAGTAGAGCGGAGGTATTTTATAATAAAACACACAAAAAAAATATTTTATTTTATTTCTTTTTTGTTGTGTATGGGTTATTTCTTTTTTGTGGTGTATGGGTATATGGGCGTGTAGTTTCTATGGATATGTTACTTTTTTGAGAGTTTAATGACTGAACATATTTAAGCAATAGATAGCCTTCATTTTTCATCATTTTTAAAACTTTACAATTGACGAATAACTGATGCTTTTTAACTGTCCCGTTTTGCCCCATCTACTTGCAAAATGTAAAAGTTTTGCTAGTTTAGAGTTTTGTTACTTTGGTTGTCATAACTTATTTTTAGAATTTTTTTTTGTTTTTTTATTTTCTTATATCAATGAATTTTAGGAAATTTATAAAAAACAGTGTTAACTATGATTAGTTTATCCGCAACTTTTGTTTCTTAAGTGTCCCTATATGCCCCGCTCTACCCTATCTAGTTATGATAAACACAACTGTTTTACTTTTTATAAAAATTATATTTAAGCATGATCTTTTAAGGTACAAAAAATTCTTCATAAACTTTTGTTGTAAATGACACTTTACACTTTTTCAAAACAGTAGTCATAGGCCAACAGAACATAGTGACTAAAGATACAACGTGGTCAAATGTACAACAGTTTTCCCACAGGATAAATTTTTTACATCTTTTTAACAAAACTGTAACATATAAAGTTGTATAAAAAGGCATTTCTAAAAATTAGAAAATGAAAAAAATAAATAAAAAAACAATAAATAAATTGAAAATATAGATAAATAAAAAAACAATAAATAATGAAAAATAACTAGAAATGCTTTTTTATAAATAAAAAATGACAAATAATTAAAAATGCTAAAAATTACTAAACAATTTATGAAGTATATAAACAAACAATCTTAAATATAAAAAAAAAATAAAAAAATTGTCGGCGGTACCTCTCTGAGGAGTTAACTGATTTGGATTTCTATGAAAAAAAAAATCCAGAACATGTGAAGAGGTGGTAAGGTGAAAATGTGAAGAGGTGGTCTTACTTACTTAGCAACGTTGGAGATAAAGAGCCATCTAAACGTGAAAACAGGGATGACCGTGCCAATAAGTGTTTAGTTCCATAAATGCAAAGTGTTTTTTAAAAACTAAAACTGGATCAGAAGTTTTTTGATAACGACTAAAGCACAAGGAAAAATCAAACTATCAAATAGCTAGAACATCAATGAAAGGTATAGAACTCAAAAATAACAGTGTAGGGTAAAGAGTGGCACATATATGAGAGACTACATTCCTCTTTCCAGGGCATTGCGGCTTTTGACCTGTGATTTTTGTATTTCTGCAACTTTTGAAGTAAAACTTAATTTTATAAGTTTTGATATTTCAGTCTTATTGTATTGAGAATGATTTATGTCATAAAGTAACAAGTTGTTTAAAAACAATGGTTTGCTAAACAGTTTAAAATCAGATGTAAAATACAAAGAAAATAACTCTAAACCTATGCTTTTTTTCAATGACAGACTTTTCTTAAAATCAGTAAAAATATAATAATGAAATAAGTAGAAATAGCACTTTGATTTTATCATATCAAAATTAAATGTAATAAGTTTTCAGCAGTGTCAGTTTAAACCTAATTATATCTACATTGCATTATTTTTAGTTTGCACTTTTAAGATCAACAAGACTATTGGCAGATGTATATTGAGACTGCTGCATTCCACATTTAAATCATGGTAAAAACATAGAAGTGTTTGGTGCTGACGTTAGTACCTTTTGACCAATATTATAATATAAAAATAGTAAAAAAGTTCTGTATTCAAAAACAAAGTTTTTACTAAAAGATGTAAAAACGGATAGAATCAATGCTAAAATCCTTCTGAAATCAGTTTTTGTTAGTAAACACCAATCACTAGGTCTTGATTTTTATATTTCACCAGACCATTGGTCATTTTTTGATATTCTAGGTAATAGTTTGAAAAAATGCCTCGGAAGAAACTCCCTTAGACTTTTTGGATACAACAAATTCGTAAATCTATTGATCATAGTTTAAGAAATTTATTTCTCAAATCAAGAAAAATATTTTTTTGTTTTTAAAATGTAAGTTGCATGGCAGTATATTTATTTCTTAAAACAAGAAACGTATTTCTTGTTCTAAGAAAAATAATTTGTAATAAAAAATTCAATTTTGCTGTGCAAAAAAAGCTTAAAGTAAAATTTATTTAAGATAATTTTTGAATAAATTTTACTTTAAGCTTGGAGAAGCTTCACAAGCTTGGAGAAGCTTCAGAAGTTTGGAGAAACTTCAGACGTTACTTCAAATAAAGAATTCTTGTAAAAAACCATTATAAAAAGAAGAAGAGTATATTCAACGGCGATTGCTTTCTTGCTTTCTCATTATTGAATGATTCAAAAAAAAATTTTTTGATCCGATACCTAACTGCAAACTCTGAACCTTAAAAGTATATTTTTAAAAAGTTTTTTTTTACATTTTTTCGTGAAATATTTGCCTTAAGCTGAAAATTTATATATATATATATATAAATATTTATTGTACATTTGCAGCGTTTAAATGCTGAACTCTGAAGCAAATTTGCTTCAGAAACAAGAGATCTATGACAGTGACAGATCCAGCATTTGACATAAGTATAAACATTTGCATGTTTATACTTATGTCAAACAATAATGCTTTTTAAAATGTTGAAATGAATTGAAGCTGGGAACAAAAGAGCCCTAAATTTTTATCCTCATTGCCCCAAACGTGAGAGCAACAAATTGATTAAATAATTTTTTGCTATTCTAAACTAAGTTTATATTCATCGATAAATTATAAGTATTGTTTTACAACCACTGAGCGTTCAAAAATTATGACCTCATAAAATTTTTAACCCCCTCAAATTGAGGGGGGTTTAAACATTATATGTTCATAACTTATGAATGCTGAGAGATAATACTATTAAAATTAAAATTTATCACTGATTATAAACTTAGTTAAGAATAGCAAAAAAATTATTTTATCATCCTGTTGCTCTCACATTTGGGGAAGTGGGGTGAAATATTAGGGCTTTTTTGTTCCCAGCCTCCAATCATTGCAATATTTTGCAAAACATCATTATTTGACATAAGTGTAAACATAGAAATGTTTGGAGTTTGTGTCATGTTTTTTAGCTAGCTCAAATACCAAAAAATGCTGGATCCTTAACTAATCTGTTGTTTGATGCCTACTCTAGGCTTTTTTTCTGCATGAAACAAGCGAAAACTTCCAAGATAAATGCTCTTCTGCGGATGCGACTATTAGGTCTTCTTCGAGCACCTAAAATAACCACAGAAAAAATGTGTATACATATTTTTGAATCGCATTGATACTTTTGATCTAGTTTAGTTTACAAAAAAAGATCAAAAGTCCTTTACCCAATTTTTTAAGAAAGCCATTTTGGATTTGGATTTGTTTTATCTAAGACTTCATTAAAAGTATTTTTAAAAAAGAAAATATGATTTGATACTAAAATGAGGTAAAAATCATAAAGTTTGTCGTATTACTGGAAAGAAGCTAAAAAACCAACAAAAAATCACTTTTCAATAGCCAAAGTGTTAATTTATTTATCGTAATTAGTTAAAGGTAGGTACAACATATTTCTTATAATAAGCAACATATTTCTTATAATAAGCATAAGTGTTTTTTTTT